GGCTCCACTGTGCAGCTGTGCACTGTGTCAGCAATAAGCGTAAGTTCAATGCAATTGCTGCAGTAGCAAACAGGCAACATCGTTAACACAGTAGAAATAGAAGGAAAAAAAAAACATAAGAAACAGCTATTAAAGCCAACTAGCCGCCAAGTCCGCATCCGAATCGAAGTGCAAGTCCGAGCTGCAGTTGCAGTTGCAGCAGCTGGGAGTCAAGTTGCAAAGTCTTTGGCGTTTGTGACATGCACAAAATGCATGTATATGAGCACCTACGAACGATAAGCTTGGGTTAATAATCGCCAGAGCAAGCAGAGACAAAGAGTGGACACATATACATAGTATAGTATAGTATATGAAAAGTAAATACATATATCTAGCCAGAGCTGGACGAACGCAGTCTATCGGTACGTAAATCATAAGCATTAAAGCAGAAACCGAAATGGCTGCATTATGCATGTGCATAGCTCGGAAAATTGCCATCGGCTGTGGCAAGTGGTTGCGTATGCATTCCGCTAATTAGCTGGATCGCTTCAAGCAGCCAAGCACCACCTGAGCACCCAATCACCCAAGCTTTCAGCTTGTCCAAGCAATGAGAGTGAAAGGCAAGGCCCGACGCCCGAGGCCCCGAAGCCCGCACTCATTAACAGCTAGGCAAAGTGGATGAGCTGGATGTGCTGTGGTCAGTGGGCACAGCGGATGCTGGGAACTGGTCTTGCTGTGGTTATGAAATGAAATCAAATGAAATTACTATAACAAGGCTAAAGGAGTCTATAAAGATGCTGTTAGCGGATAAGCACACCATAAATGAAAAACAACTCTAATGAATAACCATTTTATAGACTTCCTATATGTGTGTGTGAATGTGGCTGTGGCTGTGGCTGTGGGGTCATTGAACTCTGTCTCTCTACACTTATGATATATGCCAAGGACTGTGATCCCACTAGCTGATTACAAAAGGATCTCACAGTCTGCGCCAAACAGTGTTTGTTGCTCTGTCTCTTTCCATCTCCTATGTTTGGCATTTTGGCCAAGTCGCCCGTTACTCATTGCCACACACTCGCCTGCAACTGTGCCACCTCGCTGCCGCCGGTTGACAGCCGTTTAATTTACGCTTTGTTTGTTTTGCTGTTTGTTTCTCTGTTTTGTTGTTCGCTGTTAACTGTTTGCTGCTCTGTCGCGTTCGATGTGAGGTGAATGTTTGATTTATCGCCCGATTATAGAACCAAATGTCATAGATTGCTGCCGCGAATCCGAATCCGAATTCGAATTCGAATCCCAATCCGATGCCAATTCCAATTTAGCTTTAACCAACACCAACTCCAAGTGTTCAAAATACCAAAGCAACTACTCACACCACATATGCTTCTTGTACTCTTACTCTTACAGGTGGTCGACCACAGCCGTGGTGGTGTCGTAACAATCGCAACGGTGGCGGCCAGAATCGTTCGCCAATCTCCATAAAGCATTCAGCGGACAGCATACGCCGGCCCACAAGCAACTCGGGCGTCTGGACCTGGCTGGGCGGCAGTCGACGCTCGTCGGCGGGCCCGGATCAGATTGGACCGCCATCGACGTCTCCGGCCGAGAATCATTATACCCACATGGACGATGCATATAGTCCGGTGGGCGTCAGCGAAGCACTCTATGCGGAGCTCGATCGCGAATCGGTGCGTTCGGCAAATCCGTCGTATCAGAATACGGCGTACAGTCAGTGTGGCGAGGTAAGTGCAACAAGCCAAAGAATATCAGCCTCAACTTTAGCTAACTTCTCTTATTCCTCTCTCTCATCCACAGAAATACAATTTCCAGGCACACGAGCAAGACATTCCCATGGTCGTCTCGTCAGCGCCGAGCAGTGCCTACTACTCGGATTTGTCCGTCACCGCCATGCCGGGCGGCGCCAGTGGCAGCAATCAGGGCGCCTATGAGATTGTTGGCCTAAATGTCATGTCGCAGCCGTTGCCCAATTGGGAGCACCACGGCGGCGGCGGCGGCGGCGCTGGCGGTGGCAATGGCGTTGGAGGCGTGGCCACCACCACTGGGCTGGCGCCGAACGATGCTGCCATGACGCAACGACGCATGCCACGTCTGGCAGCCATCAATGAGACGAGCACCAGCACCGTGCCCTCGGACTATGTCTGAGCGGCTGAAGCAGAAGCTGCAGGAGGAGAAACAATTCATTTGTAATTTATATACGAGATATGTGACTTTAAAAAAGTAGAGATAGAGAGAGAGATCAAGAAATGCGAGCTTAACATGTTAATGAATTACGTTAAACACAATCTATATATACATATATATATATATATATACATAAATAGTATACAAATAGCTGTATGGATATATAAATATTTATATTTATAGCATATGCTAGCTTAGAGTTAGTGTAGTCTCGATTTGTGTCTTTCGTTTGTGTCTGAATTGTAATATAGGACGAACAGATTTACATACAAGCATGTATTATAAATCTAGTTTTAATATATCTATATATATATACACACATATATATGTATATCTATATATATATAGTGTTAAACAGCGATTAAATCGTGGGTGATATTTAGCCTAAATATGCTATATTCTTATGTTCTATGTACTTTAGCATTTTCTAAAAATGTAAAACAGAAATGGCAAGAGAAAGGAAAAACGGAAAACAGGAAAACCGGAAGGCGAACAATGAGCATTTTTTTCGAGAAGGCGAGAGAAACGCATTTCAGTCTAAGTCTAAGCGAAAACAACCCAACAATGTACCCAAAATCATATTATCATCTATACATGCTCACACAAACACACGCAAACACACACATATTTACAGCAAAAATGAATTTATGCTTACAGGAAATATACTATATATACAATATCTATAAACGAAGCAAAGGAAAAAACATATTTACAACGATTTTAATGCAAGAAAAATAAGAAAAGAAAAGTATTTACGACTATTTACGAAACACACACAAGAATTATTTATACTGCATGAAACATACACACACACATATATATAATATATATACATATACATCCGTTTAACTGGGCTCTCAGCTATCTCTAACAACAACTCCACGTAGCACATCATATCATTTACATACTACAGCATTAACTCAATATAAATAACTGCATTTTGCATACATGTATACACAGACGATTTTCCAAGCATATAAAAATTAGTAGACATATGTATTTTAGTAGTAATTTAATTTTTGTACATTTTTGTTTTAGTTGAAAAAAAAAACCATATATATATATAATAAAAAACTATTGCTATTTACATTCTGAATCCCAAAATACGCAACTGTGTTTTATTTCACAAGTCTTTAATAAACTCTCTCTCTGGCTCTGCGAGATTTATAGCTTCCCTTCTTTTGTTCTTTTTATATCACTCTCTATGTGATATCTTTGCGAATGCCCTTAATTCGTTTCCTTTACCCTCCCCTCAATCATACTCTAGATCTTCACCTTGGAGCACAGCTCTAGCATCTTCAATCTCTACAATTGTTTCGATTTCAATTGTCGAATCTGTCTGCTTGGGCTGTCGCGTGTGTATTTTGAGATGAGCACGGAGTGCTGCCTTTTGTCTGAAGTGTCTGCCACATTCTGGACATCCGTGTGGCTTCTCGCCCGTGTGGATAAGCTCGTGCTGATTGCGTGTCTCTGGCTGCGCGAATGCGTGATCACAGTAGCGACAGGTATAGTTCCGCGCACGCTCGTGCACGGTGCGCATATGCTTGTTCAGATTGCTGGAGCTGTAGCACACTTTGGAGCAGAGTCGACAGCAATAGGTGCGCTCCAGCGTGTGATAGTTCAGGTGGATCTTGAGCTCGGTGCGCGTCGTCTTCTGCACGCCACAATATGAGCAAGTGTAGTTCTTGATTCCCGCATGGCGCATCATGTGTATCTTCAGTAGCTGCTTGGTGGCGAAACGTCGCCCACAACTGGGCTCTTCGCAGGCGAAAGGCTGCTGCAGCTTGTCCTTGTGGGTGAAGCGATGGTTCTTGAGCAGCGCCATGGTGCCAAAGACTTTACCACAGAACTCGCACACATGGGACTTGTGCTCTTTGCCCAACTTGTGGCACTTGCGCATGTGCAGAGATAGCGTATGCTTGTGGCTATAGCCATGGCCACAGCCTGGCTCGGTGCAGGGATATGGCATCTGTCCATGTCGCCGACTGTGCGATTGCAGGCGCTTCTCATTTAGGAATTGTGCTGCGCAGATGGTGCATTTGAAGACCTCTTTGGGTGGCTGCAGTGAGGTACTCTAGAAAGGTGCAATACCTGTGATAGACTGTTCATATATTATTGAAGAATCCATTCATTTCTCACTGTAACATCGTCCACATCCTCCTCGAGCTGCTCGAGCTGTTCGAGCTGTTCATATGTATGGCAATGGTCCGAGTCGCTCTCTGCTGCACTCGTTTGCTGCATTTCACATCTGCTTTCCACTTGTTTTTCATCCTTCTTTTCGTTGCTCTGCTTCAGTTTCAGTTCCACAACTTCCACTGTTGTCGGCGTCGCCCCCAGGTCGTATGTGGGTTCCTCATCGTCGCAGAATGCCAGTATTTGCATTCGCCATTTCGTGTCAGCTGCTATGCACTTGGCACGGAATGCATAGAGCTGGTCCAGCTGGTTGAAGCATTCTGGGCACAGCACGCTGGGCACTCGCTCATGCACATCCACAGAGAGATCGGTGCAGGTAACAAACTTGTGCGCCAGGAGAGGCAGTTTCTGCATATCGTAGCCGGCAACAGTTGCATCAATGGCACAAATACAGATTCGGCATTTGGTGGAAGAACTCATCGAGTTGATGTTGATTAATTGTTTACATTTAAATGAATAACTAAAAGTTGTGTGTTTACACTCTACTGTAAACTTTACAGTATGTTCAGTGTCGCGCTGGTCAACAATTATCGACTGTTGACTATCGATAACTCGCTTACTCTTAACAGAAAATAATGCAAGTACTTTAAAATACCTGTTGAATGTAACAGGTCACCCCGCATTCATTGTTTACGTTTAGGTACAAAGTTCAGTCGAGTTTTGCTAAAATGTTGAAACTAAATAGCTACGGAACGCGCAAATTAATTTTAGATATTTCTAAAACCCGTTTCTACTCTGCGGCGGTGCCCCAAAGAAAACCCGAAAGTGAAACGAGAAAAGAGCCAAAAAGAGAAAATGAATCTTTCATGGCCAACATCTTTCGTGGCAATTTGGTCTCGAAACAAGTTTTCCCCTACCCCGATGTCTTGACATTGGAACAAAAGGAGACCACGGACAGCATGCTGGATCCTTTCCAAAGGTTCTTCTCCGATGTCAACAATGCTGCGCGCAACGATGAAAATTCCGTCATCGATGATAAAACATTGGACGCCCTCTGGGAGCTCGGTGGCATGGCCATTCAGGTGCCTAGCGAGTACGGTGGTCTGGGCATGAATAACACTCAGTATGCGCGACTGTGCCAAATAGTGGGAGCAAATGATCTGGGCTTGGGCATCACCCTGGGCGCACACCAGAGCATTGGCTTCAAGGGCATCCTGCTGTACGGCACTCCAGAGCAGAAGGCGAAGTACTTGCCTAAGGTAGCATCCGAGCAGGTTTATGCTGCCTTTGCTCTAACCGAGCCTAGCTCCGGCTCGGATGCAAATTCCATACGCAGCCGGGCAGTGAAGACTCCAGACAACAAATACTATATTCTGAATGGCTCAAAGATCTGGATTTCCAACGGTGGCTTGGCCGATGTGATGACTGTATTCGCCCAAACCGAGCAAATCGACAAAAAGACTGGCGAGAAGAAGGACAAGGTGACGGCGTTCATTGTGGAGCGTTCCTTCGGTGGTGTCACAAACGGTGCACCCGAAAAGAAGATGGGCATCAAGGCTTCTAATACAGCCGAAGTTTACTTCGAGGATGTCAAGATTCCCATCGAAAACGTGCTCGGCAAGGAAGGCGAAGGCTTCAAGGTGGCTGTTAACATTCTGAACAGTGGACGCTTCGGCATGGGCGCCACCTTGTCCGGAACAATGAAGAAGTGCATTGAGATCGCGACGGCACATGCCAACAATCGCACGCAATTCGGCCAGAAGATCAAGGAATTCGGAACCATCCAGGAGAAGTTGGTCAACATGAATATATTGCAATATGCGACGGAGTCTATGGCGTTCATGATATCCCAAAACATGGACTCGGGCAGCCAGGATTATCATTTGGAGACGGCCATATCGAAGGTGTACGCCTCTGAATGCGCCTGGTACGTTGCAGACGAAGCCATCCAAATTCTGGGTGGCATGGGATTCATGAAGGAGACCGGCTTGGAGCGCATCATGCGGGATCTGCGCATCTTCCGCATATTCGAAGGTACCAACGAGGTGCTTCGACTGTTCGTCGCGCTCTCTGGCGTTCAGTACGCTGGCAACCACTTGAAGGAGCTGCAACGCGCATTAAAGAATCCCTCGTCGAATCTGGGCTTCATCTTCAAGGAGGCTTCGAGGCGTGCAACATCAACGATTGGCTTGGGAGGCGTCGATCTGAGCGCCTTCGTTGTGCCCGAGCTGCAGGAGTCGGCGAAGAAGGCGGCCTCTTGCATCGATCTCTTTGGCCGCACCACCGAGGAGGTGCTAATGAAGTACAACAAGAACATCATCAACGAACAGATCGTATTGAATCACCTGGCCAATTCCGCCATCGACATCTATGCCATGATAGCAACACTCTCCCGATCCACACGAGCTGCGAAACTTAATCTGCCCACGGCGGAGCACGAACTTAACCTAACCAAAGCGCTGGCCAACCAGGCTACCGAACGAGTCCTCCAGCATCTGAGGAAAGCGACCTCACCCCAGCTCCAAAGCGAGAACAAATTGGTGTCTACAATAGCGAGAAAAATCTGCGAACAGGATGGCGTCCACTCAACTGGCGTCATCGATCTGAACTAAATTGCGATCAAACGTAATTAGCGAAAACCTAATCCATGTATCTAATCCATTCATTAGCGAATTTTATTTGTCCTCATACTCTGTTTAATGAATTTCAAAATAAAGTAATAAGTAATTAACGAATATACTTTGGAATTTGTATTACCCCTTGGCAGAGCTCTGAGATGAACAAAGTTCAATTTATTCATGTAGTCGTTGATGAAACGCATATACTATATAGTGAGACAGCTATACAATCTATATTAAAGTCGTCATTCGCAATGCAGCGACGGCCATTTCAATTAGCGAATCGATAGACATAAAGATAAGGGGCATTCTATATTATAGAAAATATAGTAGAGTAGGATGGAGAGTAATTAATTCCAATATACATAAACATTTTTTTAGACATTTATAGAAATATATTTATAGATAAATAAATACAGTATAATTATAAATTAAATTTTAGATTATAATTGCTGTTCCATGGGATTACTGTACTGAGGAACTTTGGAATTTGGCATTGATTAAAATGTATACATAGATAGATAGATCGGCAGTAAAGGCTGCGTTTGCTGATACCCTTTATAGAGATTAGCTAAATTCGAGTGTAGTTTTAGCAGCAAACAACTGATTTGGCTGTCTAAACAAAGTCCACAATCTTTACTTGACGTCTTTAAGTGACTCGATAGACACACACTCATCTATATATAAGAGATCTAATATTAACTGCATTCATTCGCCTGCTCCACGCCAGAGGCATTTATGTCACTTGGCGCTGCCAGCAAGAGCGTATACGTTATGGTGCTAGAGTCCGTGCGCTGTCGCTCGTGGATCTTGCGATGGGTGCGTAGAGCTGCGGGCTGTGTGAAGCGTTTGCCACATTCCTCGCACTCGAAGGGCTTCTCTCCGGTGTGCGTCATTTCGTGGTATTTGCGGGTGTCCGCCTTGGCGAACCGGCGCTCGCAGTAGCTGCAGGCGTAGTCCCGCGCGCGCTCATGCACTGCACGCACATGCATCTTCAGATTGCCGGAGCTGTTGCACACCTTTGAGCAGAAGCGACAGGGCCAGGTGCGCTCCAGCGTGTGATAGTTCATATGGATCTTCAGCTCATTTCTCGTAGTCTTCCGCATGCCGCAATAGGGGCAGCTGAAGTTCTTGATACCCGCATGGCGCATCAGATGCACTTTGAGTTTCTCTTTGCTGGAGAAGCGCCGCGAACAGTTCGCCTCCTGGCAGGCGTGCGGCAGTTCGGATTGGTCTTTGTGCGTGTAGCGATGATCGTTGAGCACCGAACTGGAATTGAAGACCTTGCCACAGAACTCGCATACATGGGACTTCAGCTCTGGGCCCAGCTTGTGGCACCTGCGCATATGCATGATTAACGTGGGCTTATGCCGATAAACCTTATCGCAGCCCTCCTGCTCGCAGCTGAAGCGGCTGGTGACCAAGTGCTCTTTCAGGTGCTCCGACAGGCCATGATAACGCTTAAAAGCTCGACCACAGCCCTCTTCTGTGCAGGGATAAGGGGGCAGGCCTTTGTGTTGACGCTGATGGGCTATCAACCGATGTTTCGTCGAGAAACGCATGCCACAAACGTTGCATGAATCCGAATCCTTTGATGGCAAGTCCTGAAAATCCAATGTTAACTGAAGGTTTCATAAATTATTATTGGGTTTACCTGTGATGCATTAATATCTACGGCTACTATTGCATTCTCAACGGCAGCTTCTAATTGGGGAAGTTCTATTTCAGTCTCTTCATTGGCCATTGGCAATGCATTCTTTTCTATATCCTCTGAAGGAATATTTGTAGATATTTCTAAGCGCCATTGTGCATCGGCTGCTATGCACTTGCTACGAAATGCGTACGACTCCTCCAATTGCTCAAAGCAGACTTGGCACAGCTCACTCGGCAGCTGTTGCTGTTGATCAGACTCCGACTGGTAGAGAGATAAATCTGTCAAGGTTGCGAATTTGTGCGCCAATTCGGGCAGCTGTCGCATATCATAGCTGCACACAGCTGCGTCGAGTGCACAAATGCAAACGCGGCACTTTGATGAAGTAATTGCTGACGTCATAGGCTAAATATAAGCTTTCGCAACGTGTAAATCAGTGTGCAATTCTCAGAAGAAAACTCTTTTTGTTATTGTTTATGTGTGACTAAAACAGCTGTGCAGCGATAGAGATGAGCGAATTGCTGATGGTAGTGTTAACAGTGACTTGCGCCTCTTACAGCGCTGATGAGTCAGTATGCCAGCACTGTTAAAAGGCACACTCACTCAATGTCAGCGGTATTTATTTGTTTATGCATATGGGAGAAACAGCTGTGAAGGCGATAGAGATGAGCGAGATGGTGAGAGTAACAGAAGTGTTCACTCGAAGACGAGATATTCAGAATTCGGATAAAAATATATTAATTTTGGTCGACTACGTATTATTGTACTTTATTTATAATAATATCAACTCTAATCTTAAATGCACCTTAATTTACTTATTTTAATCATGTGCCATACTTTCTGACACATTTTTAATACCGTTTCCCGAAGCTGTATCACTCGGAGATGTTGCTGGTTTCTCACTGGATTCGTTGCTCTCCCGCTTATGTATTTTCCGATGTGTGCGTAGAGCGCCCTTTTGTCTGAAATGCCGGCCACACTCTGGGCACTCGTGTGGCTTCTCGCCTGTGTGGATCAGCTCGTGTTGCTTGCATAGGAATGGCTGTGTGAAGGTGCGATCGCAGTAGCTGCAGGCAAAGCAGCGAGCACGATCTTTCTCGTGAACACTGCGCATGTGTAGGTTGAGATTGCTGGAGCTGTTACACACCTTCGAGCAGATGCGACAGCAATACGTGCGCTCAAGCGTATGGTAGTTGAGGTGAATCTTGAGCTCAGTGCGCGTCGTCTTCTGCACGCCGCAGTAGGTGCAGCTGTAGTTCTTGATGCCCGCATGGCGCATCATGTGCACCTTGAGCAGCTGCTTACTGGAGAAGCGTTGGCCACAGTCCGCATCCTCGCAAACATACGGCAACTCCGACTTGTCCTTGTGGGTAAAGCGATGATTCTTGAGGCGCCACAGTGTGTCGAACGACTTGCCACAGTATTCGCAAATGTGTGACTTGTGCTCCTTGCCCAACTTGTGGCACTTGCGCATGTGCACGCTGAGCGTATTCTTGTGGCTGTAGCCGCGGTCACAGCCCGGCTCCGGGCATGGATAGGGCATAAGCCCATGCTGGCGTTTGTGTGCTTGCAGGCGATGCTCCTCCAGGAACTGAGTAGCGCAGATGTCGCATTTGTATATGGACTTGGGCTGCTTAACCAAGGAGCTCTAAAAAGAAACCAATTTTTGGATGAACACTAAAGTGATATATTCCAAATCAAATTGTTTACCTGTTCGGATGCCTGCTCTGATCTGACTGCCTTTTGCTGTTGAACTTCGTCCATTTTTGTCTCCTCCACTGCTGTTTCTGCTGCAGCTGTTTCCTTTAGTTTATCAGCCTGCTTTTCCTCTGTTTCAACTCTCGGCTGACTACGCTCCGGATCAGGATTTGTAGCTTCAGTAGTGTCAGAGTGCTGCTCATCATCGGTGTAAAATGCTAGTATTTCCATGCGCCATTTCGTGTCGGCTACTATGCATTTAGCCCGAAATGCATACAAACGTTCCAGTTGGTCATGGCAGGCGCCGCACAGTTCACTGGGCAGCCGCGTCTCATCGGACACGGACAAATCGGTGCAAGTGACGAACTTGTGCGCCAGCTTGGGCAACTTGCGCATATCATAGCATACCGCAGCTGCATCGAGGGAGCAAGTGCACACACGGCACTTGGACGAATTGGGCATTTGGCCAGTTAACTTAATTCAAATCAGTTTCAAGTACTTTTGCTGAGCAGTGTGAAGCGCGATATTCATTTTTGTTTATGCTGCCATCAGCTGTTTGCGACAGTGCTGAAAACCGCGCATTGTTAGTTGTTGATGCAGCTATGGCACTTTCCAACACTGCTTCTTAATATGTGGGTGGACAACTAGTTGAAATTCTTGCACTGAATGGAAAAATATATAAAAACAATGGAAAAGCCGAATGGAATACACTACATTGAGCTCTCTAGCAATTTTATACGCTTCGACGCCGTCAGCCAGCTAACAAATGTATTCTTCGATGACTCAAACAAACAGGTAAGAGGAATAACATCAATGTGTTGTTGGGCGGACTGCAGCCTTGTTTTGTTTCAGATATTTGCCGTCCGATCGGGTGGTGCCACGGGTGTCGTTGTAAAAGGTCCTGTGGAGGATACTGTGATATCGTTTTGCATGAGCGATCGCGGGGGTGCGATACGCTCCATTAAGTTCTCACCAGACAATCAAATCCTGGCCGTGCAGCGCAAGGAAAACGCAGTAGAGTTCGTTTGCTTCCAGGGCGATCAACCGCTGCTCCAAGACATTATAACCCATCAAGTAAAAACGCTAATTTATGGCTTTGTGTGGGTGCACAATCGCGAGCTTGCGCTCATCTCGAACACAGGTGTCGAAATCTTTCAAGTTGTGCCAGAGAAGCGACAAGTTCGCTCCATCAAGGCGCTCAGCATCAGCATCAAATGGTTCGCTTGGTGTTGCGATGCCAATGTGGCCTTGCTGTGTACCACCGAAGGCAACACGCTCGTGCCTGTCCTCGTCAAACAGAAGGTCATCACCAAGCTGCCCAAAGTGGATTGTGAGTAACTCCAAATAGGCCACTTAGCTACAATGCACTCAATTTTCATTTTCTTTTAGTGGGGAATCCGGGTCGAGAGGTCCAAGAGAGTAAAGTAACGCTGGGTCGAGTCTATGGCGTACTGGCCGTGCTTATATTGCAATCCAACAGCACGACAGGCATGATGGAGGTGGAAGTGCACCTGTTGAATGGCCCTGGTCTGGCGCCTCGTAAATGCCATGTGCTGCGCCTCAGCTTGGTTGGACGCTTTGCCATTAACACAGTGGACAACCTGATAGTGGTACATCACCAGGCTACGGCGACGTCGCTGCTATTTGACATTGCACTCAGTGGCGAGGTGATCGACAATGTGACCTATCATGCGCCCATTACGACGGGACGCTCAATCAAACCATTTGCACTCAAGTTACCCTCGCTTTCTCCTGATGGCCAAATTCTACAATGCGAGCTTTGTATGTTGCTGAAACATAGGAATTATATATACTTTACTAACTCCTATTCCCGATTACAGATTCCACAAACTGGGTGCTCTTCCAGCCTAATATTGTCATTGATGCCAAGCTGGGCTGCATGTGGTACCTAAATCTGTCCATCGAGCCACTGTGCAATCTAATTTCCGATCGCATACGGCTCACCGAATTCCTGCTTCAGCGCAGCAGTGGGAAACAGATGCTGCTGAAGGTGGTGCAGCAACTGATGGGCGATCAGTATAAGGGCACGCTGCTGCCTGTGCTGGAGACCATCTTTGACAAGATCAATAAGATTTATGCGTAAGTGAGCAACTTTATAGTAATTCACAAACTAACGTATTATTCCACTTCAGCTCCTGGGTCCACATGGAGCTACAGAATCAGACAGCGCTACCTGCGAATGTGAAGAGCACAACCACTAAGAATACTACACCGCCCATTGTGCTCATCGAGCAATCGGATATGGTAGAAATATTTCAGCCCATTGCCGAGCGACCCTTTGCGGAAACTGTGCTCATGTTGTACCTGCAATCCCTCAACAAATACAATATATCCGCCCAGGAGGAGCTGAGCAAGATGATAATCAGCGAGTTGATACGTAATCGCAGTTTTGATACGCTGCGCCGATTGGTCAGCTACTCCATGCTGCTGGAGTCCAAGTCTGTGGCGTGCTTTTTGCTGGCTCACTCTGATGTCGACTCGGCTATATCCCAGATGGCCATCGATATGCTGGGCAAGATCCAGGCACACGAGGTACTCACTTCTGTTTACTCCAAATGAATCCTTGTCTAACGACTCGATATTGCAGATAATAATCGAGGTGATGCTGGGTCAGGGCAAGGTCATCGATGCGTTGCGTCTGGCCAAAAACTCGCTGGGCATTGACAAGGTGCCGGCGCGCAAGTTCCTCGAGGCGGCGTACAAAACTCAGGATGATTTGATCTTTCATAGCGTCTACAGATTCTTCCAGATGCGCAACTTGCGCAATTACGAAACTCTGGCGTTTCCTAAAGGTAACTGAGAGTGTTTATGATTTTTATATAATATTCATATTCATTTCAATTATAATTTCAACATTTATAGCCGAGCAATGCACGGAGTTCATACAGCATTATAATAATACCTTTCCTCCGGATAGCGCCAATAAATTGCAGACGAGCTGAGCCCATTGTTTACTAGGATTTGTTCAGTTTATTTTGTGATTTAGCTAATAATTGGGGTATTCACACTTGAGTCTACAAATAGCTTAAGCTTATTATAATAAACAAATGAACATATAACATGAATATAATTTATAGATAAATATAAATATCGTACATATATATATATTTTCGAATGTGCATAAATACAAACATGTGACATCTTTTATCAAGTTGCTATTTAACATTTCTATTCAAACGAATACGACGTACATATATCTAGACTGAATTGTTGACAAAGTATTTAGCATTTAAGAATTATCAATGCTAGGCTATACACAGATCATCTGGAGCAGTCGCACCATAATACTTGACGCTGCATTTACACTTACACAAACACGATTTGTAAGAGGTACGACAATTACATTCAATGGCAATATATAAATATGGAATATACATACATAAAAATATTAGGAATTTACATGCGTGCATTATTGCATTGTTATTATCCCTAGCAGAAGCGCCTGGGTGGTGCCTTAAGCTGCAGCGTGCCCAGTTCCATGGTGTTGGAGCTCTTTAGTAAATGCTGGCTGGGGCATGGCAGGCGCACAATGGACAACTGCTGCGCATCATCCGGCTCGAAGGGCAGCGGTTCGTCACAGCGTGGACATTTCTGCAACTCTGTTGTCTCGCTCCAACACCGTTCGTGGAACGCATGCCCACATGGACCCAGCACGAGAACCGGCGTCCGGTCATATAAACGCTGGCGGCAGATGAGGCAACGCATGCTGGTCACCCAGAGACCGCGACGTGCTAGATGCCGCTGCTCGGCGAACTCTGTGTGCAGATTCTCGCAGAGTTTATCGGCGGCAAGGCGCAGCGCCTCTGTCTCTTGTCGCGAGCTAATCAACATGCTCATCAACAGATCCTTGATGTCGCCAAAGCTGCTGGACACATTGTGTGTGTTCATGATGAGCTGGACCAAATTGTGCAGATCAATGTGCTGCGAGGCCTCGTGCAGCATAGACTTGGTGATCGACTGCAGCTCCTGCTGTGGCAGTATATACTGCAGCAGAGTGAACCAGCAGCGCTCCAGCTGCTTCTCAGGCAACGTCGGCGCAGAGCGTGCCAAGAGCTCTGCAATTTCCTTAGCTTCCTTCTCAGCTGCATTGACATCGGCGGCGCGCAACAGTTCCATGGACAGGTCAAAGGCTTTCGCGTAGCACTCTTGCTGCTCGTACAGGTAGATGACGGCTCGCTTCAGCTGATGTCGCTCCACAATGTCCACGGCTTTACTGAGGCGATATCCCGCGCTGTTGCGCAAAAACTCAAGCACTTCATCAGGCTGCTCCAAATTACAGTACAGCTCGAGTAGCAGCTCCATTTGCGTTGGCTGCAATTCGCAGTGCCTCTCATTGAGGCACTGCAGTAGGCGAAAGAGCAGGGGCTTCTTTCCACTAAGCAGTTCCACCAGTTCACTAATCTTGCCCGGATAGTGCAATGCAATGATGCGCGTCGTCTCCGTGGCATTAATCTCCAGTAGTTCTCCCAGATGCTCGCGCAGCTGTGCGTAGATCATGCGCTCGCTGTTGCTCACATGACGTTCCATGTAGGCGAACATCGTTTCATGCCGCGCCGGATTGTGTATGAGGCAATCGAGCATGTTGTCATAGCGCTGCAGCTTCTCCAGCAAATACTCTACCACATAGTAGCAGCGTGCTCTCTGTGCCAGTTCCAGCTGTTCCTCGTCGCTGCTAATGTCGGCAAGGCAATTGCTGGAGAGCAGCTCGTGCCAGGCGCTCTCTCGTTCCGAATGCTGGCGCGTACTCTCGTTGGCAATGCTCTCCTGTGCCAGGTAGCTGAGCACGCGCTCCAAAAGCTGCTTATCTCGCGGCAGACACTGCGTCGATATCTGCTGAGCAATAAAGTTCAGCAAGCAGCCGATCTCCGCCCACTGCAAAACGAGATCGAATTGAGACTTTATACGATTCTCAGCTCATTTACCTCACTCACCGTTGCGTTCTCGGGCGTCATAATTTCGAGTAGCAGATATATGATGCGCTTGCGATGGGAGTAGCCCAGCTCGTTGCTGAACTCGCGCTCCTGGAAAGCCAACGAGATGACATTTAGGGTTTCGCGAGTATCGAATTTGAGTAGGGCGCGCAGATATGGATAGGGCAGCTCATCGTCGGGGCTGGAACTCGAGTGCTGGGAGGTGAGGCAGCGCAATACATCGTGCTTGACCTGCTGCACCTGGTCCTCGGGTATGTCGCCGCTTGGAAAGCGCCGTCCGGCCAAGCAGCTGGATATGTAGACCAGCAGACAGTTGCCCAGATCCGTTTGATCCGGCCGCAGTGGCGGCAACAGCTCTGTCAACGCCGTGGTGTAATCATTCAAGGCGCAAGCATTCAGATAGAGTTGCGCTCGATATAGCTGATGCTTCTTGACTGCCTTCAGCACCTGGTTCAAGTCCAGGCACATCCAATCCAGCTTTAGGATCAGCTGCTCCAGCTTGGCTGGCGAGTGCTGCAGCCAGTAGTCCACAAGCGCCTGCGAGATGACCGGATTGACGCTGTGTATGGTCTCCTGCTCAATGTGCTCAGAGATGTGCTGCAAGAAGAGCTCCGTGTTGTTGTGCAGCCGTTCCCACAGCTGCGTCCACAACAGATCCAGTTCGCCAATGGTTATCAGGCAATTGACAATGGCGCCCAGGCAATAATCGGGCGCACGCGCTGAATTGGCTATGTACTCCTTGAACAGCATTATGATGCGCTCCTTGGCCTGAGCACGCTTTCGTGGACGCTCCGCAGAGGCGACATAGCCATCCAAGGCCAGCTGGCAGGCCTCCTGCCAGCGATGGTTCTTCACCTGAAAATGAAGAAATGAAATTAGTAAACTCTATATTTAAAAAGATTTTACATATATATTTACCAAATAACTAATGCGCTCCGACCAGGTTCGCACTCCAATGATATGCAGGGAGCGTGCGCCAAGCACGTAGAGCTGTGTGCCTCGCGAGACCACGGAGTTGTAGCAGGCATTGGTGCCGGCCAAGGCGAAGGCCGGTGAGACATTGCCGCCCGTGGCCAGACCCTTAAATTGCGCCGAGCCATAGACCAGACCAGCATTGGCCATATCCATGCACTCCAGCTCCCGACTAGAGCGAACATCCACCAAATGCAATATCTCCGAGGTGTCCAGCGATGCAACACACTTCGGACCCAGCCAGTGGGCGGAGAGGAGGCTGCTGTGCAGCTGGACATGACGCAGATACAGCAAAGTGATGCGTCCATTGGCCATAAAGAGCTGGTGAAAGAAGAGCTGATTGCCACGGCCAACGACAATGACGGGATCCACGGAGCGAGTGGTGTCTGCCGCTTGGATAAGCACCATATGCCACGCCAGCAGAGGCAAACAATCTGCTGGCCCTTGCAACGCATGGAACTTGATGACACGCAGTCGTGGACGCACCGTGACTATAAAGTATTTCGAGAGCGTAGCCAGAGCCACAATGCAGTACTGGTCCAGTTCATGGCGACCGTGGGCGTCCATGATGAGCGGCTCCACGGCACACACCTCGCCGCGAGCGCCAGAGAACAAACAGCGTGAGCTGCAGCCCCTGATGCCCAGCTTTCGAGTAAAGCTCAGCGACCACACAGAGCCGCCAGCATCGGCGCAGAGAGCCAGTGAGGAACGTGATGTCCACTTGACGTGTAGCACGCCACTGTTGGGCGTTATTACATCGAATAGCTCACGCAACACATCGCCCGTTTGGGTGTCCAGCATGGTGACCAAGCCACGAGCGAAACCCACCAGAAGGCGTGTGGAGTCCGCATTGAATGCCATGGTCGACACGGCACCTTGGCTATGCTTGTCTTGGTGAGCCCAGCGTAGCGTTTGGGTTACATCAAAGTTGAGTATGTGACCGTGCGAGGTTCCCACGGCTATGTAAGCTGCAACGGCACAGGCACTCGCCGCTCCAGCATTGACGCGTTCGGCGGCCGAGTTTAGTTGAGCGGAGATGCCATGGAGTAGGGTGTATCGCATTATAGAGCCGGAACTACTTCCGCCACGTCCATCGCCACGCACACCGCAATCCTCGCCTATCGAGGGCGTTGGCGTTGCCCTCGGCACCGGCATTCCAAGCTCGGACGCCACGTCGGAGTCTGCCTCGAATTCGCTGAGCACCGTTTCGAGAGTGGGCAGCACATCGGTGGGTGGTATGGCAAACTCGACATCGTCCAGCTAAATGTCAAGGGTCGTAATCAAATTGACATTTATGTATTTGTTTTCATTTTCTACTTACGCCTTCGAACTCTAAATCTAGCTGCAAACTGTCCGTGGAGCCGCGATCTGATTCGAGCAGCGATTGCAGCGAAGGCGCCTTCAACTGAGCCATGCCTACACACGGTTCTTTCTCGCTTTTTACTTTAAATTTGTAACAATCTAAAATTACAATCTTAATTTTTATCAATGAACGTCTGTACGCCCACCATCTTATCGATATTTACTGAGCTACCGATTACTTTCTGTTCAGTCGATGGATATATCGCCGGTAGCTGCATATCGATAGGTGTTCATTTCGCAACTCTGGCAGTGATGGTTCGCAGTCAGCTGTGAACTAGTTCAGCGTCGCAGGTCTTTTTTTTGCTTTCATCTCTCTCTTTCATCAGTTCCATTTTAACCTTTATCGTGGCCAGTCGCATCCGCAATCGCGCTCGGGGATCCCGTGATTGAACATTAAAATTAATTAAATGCATAACTTACAATAGAAATGTGCGTGAAGCAACAATAATAATTGACGCCCGCGGGCAATACGAAATTGAGAATTGCGTAAATGGCTAGCCAGAACATGAAGCAACAAAGCGCGTTGGAAGCGGCCGTGGAAACTTCGATTTTTGCATGAGTCCGCAGCACAGGCAAAAACAAAACCAAAAAAATATATAATAATAAATATAAACGCAACGAAAACAAAGACGCTGCCAAATTAAATTGCAGAGCCTATTGAACTAATCGGACTTGATAAATATAATTGCTAATGGGAGTATATATAAATTTGTTGATTTCGCTGCGCGTGTGCGTTTGTTTGTAATTCGGTTGTCTGCTTTGTTGCTGCTGTTTGTTTGTGTTTTTGCACTACTCTCTCCAATGTACGCGCGTCAGTCGTTTATTGTGAATGTGTATGCGTGCAGTGACGTAAACAAATGCAAATAAAAAGGCACAATTGCAAGCGAAAATTTGAAAAATGCCAACAATAACAAGCACATCAACAACAACAACAAAACAGCCGCATGCCGATGCCGTTTCACGTGCCAAATATACATAGTAGCAACAACAAGAACGCCAGCAACGGCATCAACAAAACGATAACTTTTTTGTGCCGTGTGTTTTGTGCAGCTCATTCGCTGCAAGGCCAGCTGAGCGCAACACGTTTGTGTTTGATTCTGATGCATGCGTAGGCGAGCAGAGCAGAGCAGAGCAGCAGCAGCAGCAGCGCAGCAGCAACAGCATGTGCGAGTGTGTGCGCGTGCATTGATTGAAACATAGATGCGACAGGTAAGCCCACAACTCAAATTATGTTCATACACTTTAGCACGCAAATACAAAAAAATAACTGTGTGCTATGCGTGCGTGAGTGTGTGTGTGTGTGTGTACGATGTTACTTTTATGTTGCGCCGACCGAGTGTCAAAATTTACATAGTTAATTACAGTTAACTAGCGAGCGGAAGAGACTTCCACATAAATAGAAACTTATCAATTAGTAAGAGCCAAGAGCGGCGCCTTTGCAGGTAATTTTCGAAATGTATACGGACACACACACACTTACACAAAAGTGCAGACGCTCGCTCTTGCAGTGTCGTTTTACGTTTGTCAAGATAAGCAACCACAACAACAACAATAACAAAGGCAACATCAAAAGCAAAGCACGTTAATGACATTTCTGGAGCATTTTTACACACACACTCACACACACGCGTTGCCCACTCCCCAGTAACCCCTTTTTATCTTCCTTTTTAATATGTCGTATACGCTAGTTTTTCCACATTTTTGTACCCTATCTAAGCGTGGCATATGATCGATTGTTGAATTGATTTGTAACGGTACTTGATTTTGGCATTGTAATTTATGAAATTATATGGAAATTTAATATTAGCGTGTAAAGGTATTCGAATTAATGATCGTAACAGATCAACATTATTTCAATTTTAATCCTTTTAGTGGTAATTTAATTCGATTTAAATATCTAGGAATTATTCTTAAGATCATTTCCATATGTTTATTCAATAATTTATTTTATTTCAATTTCAAACAATTCCATATTTGTTAATTTTGTAATGTGTGATGATCATATGGCCTATTGTAGTTTATCTATGATACCATATACATATACTTCATTCATATTAGTTCCTGATCTCTTTGATAAAAGGCATTTAGTATTCGTTGCATTTCTCTTGCTTTGGTTCTTTGGCTTTTTGTGTTGATCATTGTGCTTTCGCTTTGTGCTCCTTTAGCCATGGCTTTGCTTTTCATCTGTCTTTCATGGCCACTAAATTTATTGGTCAACATTTTATCTTTTTGGTGTTCAGGCACCCACGCGGCGACTGCGACGCCAACTGCGACGTTAACTTTGGCAACGGCAACTCCTTCAACTTGCTTGTTGGGGCCTCGCTCGGCGTTCGTGTGTGTTGCACGCCCACATGGAAATTTAACGCCTGAATGCGCCGTCGACCGGTTCAGATTCTAGATAGTAGATTTTAGATTCATGATGCCGATTTTGATATTTCCCCAAAACGTGGTCGGCAGCCACATAAATATTTTGGAGAAGGGACCATAAAAGTGAATGAACAACAAATACACAAATATACAAAATTTTCCGACATGAATTATGAGCATATGCCGTTAGTTTTTAGTATCAAAAACTTTTCTATATCTCTTTTCATTTCGTCTGTCTGTCTGGGGAAAATATCTTAATTTCAATAAACTTGGCTGCGTCCCCATTCTATAAATTTTACACAAACACACATTCTCATAGGTTAATGTTTTGTTTATCTTTAGATGATTTGTTTATGCATGATGATAGGGTGGCGGAGCGGGAGAGAGGGCGCTGATGGTGGTTCCTGATGTGTTTCTGATTCAGCGATTGCAGTCGAACAAATTTTTGCAATTGTTGGCGCTTATAATTCAGGCCTTAACCCATTGTTGGCCACATGATAAACGACGGCTTGTTAATAAATCAAAGGCAATCGTGCATTGTATGTTTGTGTCCTGTGTGGATATCCTGTGTGCCGCTGCTTCAGCTTCAGCTGCTGTTGCTGCTCCAGCTCCTGCTCCTGCTGCTGCGCCTGCTCCTGCTCGAGCGAAAAGAGTGCTCGTTACAATGTCAGAAAGTTTTTGTTTTGCAACTTCTACATGCCGCTTGGTCCTTGGAGCATGCAACATGATTGGCTATTGCACTCAGCACAGGATACTCGTATTTCATACGCCTTGTAGATTTATGAAGTGCCCAGGCGAGCCGCTTGACTACGTGGGCGTGTGTCCCGCTCTCACTCTCTCCTACTCTCTCTATCTATCTCTCCCTTTCTTTCTCTCTATCGCTCTCTCGCTCTTTGCCTGCTTGTGTGCTTAACGTGCTGCAAGCTTGTGCTTAGGGTTAGCATACATACTTCCTGTGCGTCCTGTGCATCCTGTGCCACAGGCTGCCATTGGCATTCTAATGATTTTTTATTGTTGTCGCTTAAGTGGCCCATTGTACAGCTGGCAACATATTGTTCTGACAGCGCCCACTTGATATCCAAACCCCATTCAGGTTGAGGCGCCACAGATGCTGCCAGAGCTTCTGTCGCTTGGCCAAAATAGACTTTCGTTTTGCTTCCTCTCTAGAGCAAATTGGCGATATGATAACATTTCTAATTATATACACTGATTAAAACAAACGAAATTTTAACAGCAGACCATTAAAAAAAAAAAAAAACATTTTTTGCACAGTTTTTTCATACATTAATTTGAACACAACAAAGTTGGGAGTTTTTTTTTTATAAGTTCTGATGATATAGATCTATAGAAATAAAGCTGTGTATAAAGTTGATTGTACTAGAAATGCGTAGAATTTATATTAGCTAACGCTAATGATAAAAATAATAATATAAATACTTTTTTATATTATAAAGTTTATTATATATATTATATAGTATATTATATTATTTATATTATATATAGTATAATATTTATATTATATATTATATAGTATATTATATAGTATTTATAATACTATTATACTATATTATGTTTTTTTTATTGTATTTTTTTTTTTTTATAATTGTATTATAGTATATGCAAAACTAAAATAAAATTTGAAAGAAATTCCTTAAATGCTTATTTATAATATACTTTTTGATCTTTTTAATGAAAACATACACCATATATTTTCTATGATTCCTATATATAAATATAAATATTATAATTCAAAAATTTCAAAGAGCAATCTTTAATTTCCTTGAATTGTTTTCTATATGCAAAGTTTTAGCATTTGTTTACTTATTAAACTCGAACAATTTGAGCGTAAACTTTATTGCTTTAAGCTAATTTCATTATTACTTATTTTCTGTTCAGCTTCAGTTAGATGTAGGTAGCTCTTTCTAAACAGGTTTTGCATATAAATCTTCGGGCTTTATCAACTTTTGACAGTCACGATCGTTGAGTTGCTATATTTTTATGGGATTCTAATTATACTAGAGCTTTGTTTTTAAATTATTTTTCTCTTTTTTTTTTCGTAATGAAATAAACGTAAAATAATATTCTTTAATTGGAAATTCTATTAAATGCGGAGGCATGCGCTGCGTAGTACTGAATTCTCGTACATTTGAAGAGCTGCAGTCAAGAGGCTATTTCCAGCTGCCTGAGTACAATTCAAAAGTAAATTATCAACTGGAAATTGATTGCGATCTTTGGACTTCACATAATGATCTTTAATATGGCTGGCTTTTGTTTCCTTTGTCTGCTGCGCTGCGGCTGCCCGGCTGCTCCCGGCTTGTGCTCTAAGAAATCTTCTTTGCTGCGGCTTATGTTGCACAGTAGCTGAAATTGTCTGACGCTGCTGCCGCTGCCGCTGCTGCGGCCTTTATGCCTCATCATAGTAGAAAATGCATTCGGCTTAGTCACTATTCGCCCGCCCCGACAATCCAGCTAGAGAGGAAGCGGTTGGCGGGGGCATTTAAACTGGTTCGCTGTCTTCTTCTTAATGCGAACACAAAATGATGCGATGCCTGCCTGAAGTAGCTGAGAGCTGAGAGCCGAGAGCCGAGCGCCGAGCGCTGTTTCAGTTTGTGCCCTCTGCGCTGTTTATTATGATCTGCTGGCGAGACAAAAGGCAAAATGCCAAATAAGCCGTATGAAAAGCAGCGCCAGGACATGAACCTGCCACAGGCTGCGAAACTGAGAGGCTGCTGTGGGTGGGTTTGCTGTTGTTGGGGTTGACTGAGTGCCTCTGCAGTCTAATTCAGAGCGCGCTAAAGCAAAGCGATTAACTGGATTTACGTACGCCCCCTCGAGCTTAATGCTGCTGCTGCTGCTGCCGCTGCTGCAACAAAACCCAAGTTTGCTCTTATATTCTTATATAGAAAGTTTTTTCATTTTGCAACAAGCTTTAGCAGGAATTATGAGCACAGCAGCTACAATATAATATATATCTATGAGTGTTGATATATATATACTAACTATATATGTATAAGTATACCTATATATATGTATGTATGATGTGCTGTAAATATGTTTGTTTTGTGTACCTTCATCGATTCAAATAGCGAAAAGCTTTATGCTCTTCGACCAGCTAATTAGCAGAGCCACACATTTTGTGTTCGGAGCTGTGGTTGCGCGGTACACGCTGGTCTGATGGTGGTGGTGGTGGTGGTGTTCGATGGGGTATGCTGCTAATGACTGTGCTAATAATTGCTTTGTTGTGGCCGTGTGCTGCCGCTCTGCTGCTGCTTCTCCTGCTACTCCTGCTGCTGCTGCTGCTGCTGTCGTCCCAGCTGTCATGGGCTGCGCTCAGATCTGATCCGAGTGACAGAGAGCCGTCAAAAAAGAAGCGAACCGCAGCCAGGCAGGCGTTAATGGAAAATTGCGCACTAAAATAATTATTTTGCAGTTAAACAAGTGCTAACAGAGATTTTATAGAAGAAGACTGTGGAAAATGGGAAGTCGGGGTAGAGTGCTTTATATTGAGACATTATAAGAATGGAGGCTGGAAAGTAGATTGACATAGCTTGACATAAAACTTGGTGGCTCGATATAAATTAAAACTTTAGAATAGAATAGCTATCAACAGTGAACTAGCTCATAAAGCTGATCCAAATTGAATTGAAGTAACTCCAAAACTTAACATTCATATTTAAGGAATACTACTATTTTCATTAACTACTATTTTCACTACTATTTTCTTTTTAAGTATTTGAAAATTGATGTTCAATTCGTTCATGGAACTCGGCTGGTTCCATTGCAAACTAGTTCCCGTTCTCAGTCAATTCATTTCCCCCATTTTTTTTGTCTCTGCTGCCACT